TTTTTACTAAATCCCAGAATCTTCCAACTCCCTGTTTGTGGGATTTTATTAAATCAAGAGTCAGAGGGGTTTCATGAGATTGGATTATGTTATGTGGCTAGTCTAAATGCATAAAGTAGAGATTTTCCTTAAAGCTGAAGTTTAAGCTGCTTATTTGTACCTAACCAAGTTCCTTACCTCCCAACCCCTTCTTTATCAACATACGATAAAATGTCTACATAAAGCCTTACTGTTTTTGTTACATACCTTATTTTAGACTCTGGGTCTAAAATAAGTCATCGCTGGGTGAAACATCACAGCACCACCCTGCTTCAGCCATGGCCTGGTTCATGGGAGGATTTATTCCAATATCAAAATACCAGCAACGGTATTGCCGGTCTGGGCAATGGGTAGGGTAACATAAACTAGCAGATTTAGGTGAACAAATTAAAGGTTACATTTACCTTTTCTGTAAAATAGCTTATGCAGTCAACGTTCGTAGGTATTTAACCACTTCAAGTCCGGACACATTCACCCCCTTCCTGCCCAGGCCAATTTTCAGCATTCAGTGCTATCACGCTTTGAATGGCAATTGCGCAGTCATGCAACACTGTACCCATATGAATTCCTTAGCATTTTTTTGAGACAGATAAAACTTTATTTTGGTGGTATTTCTTCACCACTGGGATGTTAATTTTTTTGCTATATAAATGAAAAAGTCTAAACATTTTGAAAAAAAAAGTGTTTTTAAATTTTGCAAATAAATAATCTTTCTTCATAAATCTTGGCCAAAATGTATTCATCTATCTTTTTAGTAAAAAAAAAAAACCCAAATTAGTTTATAACCAAAAATTATAATTTTTAAAACTTTTTTTTACATTTTTATTATTTCGTTTTTTTTTTTTTAACCATTTCAATACCAGGCAATTTTACACCTTCCTGCCCAGGCCATTTTTCACGTTTCAGCGCTCTCACACTTTGAATGACAATTGCGCGGTCATACAACATTGCACCCAAACTAAAATTTTATCATTTTCTTCACACAACTAGAGCTTTCTTTTGGTGGTATTTAATCACCGCTGGGGTTTTTATTTTTTGCTAAATTAACAAAAAAATACCAAAACTTTTGAAAAAAAAACACGTTTTTTCTTTGTTTCTGTTATAAAAGTTTACAAATAAATAATTGTTCTTCATAAATTTAGGCCGAGATGTATTCTGCTACATGTCTTTGGTGAAAATAACCCAAATTAGGATGTATTATTTAGTTTGTAGGAAAGTTATAGAGTTTACAAACTATGGTATAGATCTGAAAATTGATCAATCCTGAAGTACTGACAGCCAATCTAATTTCTTGAGGTCCAAGAATGTCAGAATAGTACAGATATCCCCAAATGACCCCTTTTTGCAGAGTAGACAGTCCGACGTACTTCATAAGAGGAATGGCGAGTTTTTTGAAGTTGTATTTTTTTTTGTCATAATTTTTTGGAAAATGAAATAATTAAAAAAATTATTTTCACTATTTTTTTTTTTACATACTGTCACCAGTGCAGTACAGCGTCATCATATAACTGGCATGGCGGTAAACAGGGACACTGACTGGTGACAGTATGAAAAAATATATATATATATTTTTTTTTATTATTTTTAATTTTTTATTACATTTTTTTTATTTTTTTTAAGATTTTTTTTTCATATTTCACTATGACCAAAGTAGTACAATGTTACCATAGCAACATTGTACTACTTTGGGGAAGTGATCAGCATTTATTTATTTTATTTTTTTTTACACAATTTGCTTATAGCAAAGAATTACTTTGCTATAAGCAAGCATTTACCTGAATGAAATTGATTCATTCAGGTTTTTTTTTTTGTGCTTAGCTGTGATTTGACCACAGCTAATCACATGACATGTGCATGTGACCTGCTGTGACCATTCACAGCTAGGCACTAGTATACAATGGATGGCATGAATGAAGCCATCCATTGTATACAACTGTCATGTGACCTGCTGTGATTGGTCACAGCAGGTCACATGGTACCAGCAACGGGAACCAGTACTCAGATCTGTCATCGGCCGTGTCCGAGGTACACGGCCGGTGACAGATCGCGCCGCTGCCAATCGCGCCAAATGGCGTGCACCCAGAAAGCTGAAGCATTTTTGCGGCCGCCAAACGGCTATAGGCCGGGCGGCTAATGGTTAACATGCCATCACCCCAGCAGTACAGTGTCACCATAGTGACACTGTACTACTTGTGGGGGGTGATGAAGATTTTTTTTTTTTTTTACACTGATTGCCTTTAAACCCATAAAGGCTATAAGCAATCATTTCTATTTATCTCTAACTGCATTCTTGCAGCCATTGAGAAATACTGTGCGAGCTGTGATTGGTCACAGCTTTTCACATGGTACAAGGCTGCTGTAAATAACCTTGTACCATGTGACCTCTGTGATCATTCACATATTTCACACGTAGTAAGCAATGATGTCAGGAAATGACAACTTGTTTACTACTGTTACTGTGATCACATGAATCGGGACCTCACACAGAGGTCCTGTACAGTGATCGGTGTTCTGCTGTGTCGTCTGGACACAGCGGGCATCAGGTCACAGTGCCGCGCACTCTCCCAGGGAGCTTGCACAGGCAGTGAATGTGGAGGCCATTTATAAATGGTCACCCGCTCCTGCACCGTTTATATACATGGGCCAGACGGGAAGTGGTTAAAAAACTGTGCAGTTTTATTGTCATACCTGTAGGCCCCCCAGAAATCTAACTGAAAAACTCCCAGTTAGCAATCCACGTGTCCTGCTAGGACACAAACCATCTGATGACTACTCCCAGCATTACAGGAGCAAAACAATTTATGTGTCCTAGCCACAAAGCAGGATGTGGGGATTGATATCTCTAGAGTTTTTCATCCAGGTTTCCTGTGGGGCCCAAATGGCCCACAAGGTATGACAATAAAATTATTAAATATTTTAGAAAGCATCACAGATTTAACATCTACCTGGGCCCCTTGACTTCATAGGATATTTTCTGTAAAATTTGAACTTAGCCTTTAATGAGAAACTAAACCCTCCTATCCTTTACAATCAAGGAAGTTGCCATCTTAGCCTCTGTTTGATCTGCAGCTGCCATGGTGCTGCACATGGGATCAGTTCTGACTAAAGCCATTTAAAGGCTGGACATTTGAGAACACAAGCAGCTGTGACAGTTATCATTCATGGCTTTCATAGTTTCACTTTAATCACTTAAGCTCTGAGAGATTTTTCACCAGGGCATTTTTTGCTATTAGGCATTGCACTACTGTAACTGGCAATTGCATGGTCATGCATCACTGTATCCAAATTACTTTTTTATCTTTTTTTTTTCCACACAAATATTGCTTTCTGTTGGTGGTATTTAATGTTTTTGTATGTTTTGGATATTGAATAAAGCTTTGTTTTCTAAGCCACTTGATCCGCCTAGTAACCTCCTTTTGGGCTCTCTTTAGTCTTCATTTTTTAGATAAACAAGTACAACTTGTGTGGGAGGATTTGTTTCATCCCCAGGGGTGGACTGACATCTCATGGGACCCCCGGGCAATAGGGGATCTTGGGGCCCTCGTGTCCTCGCCCACACCCAAAAAGCCTATGAAAAAAAACAATGAAAGGTATCAGGGCAGGGGCGGACTGACAACTCATGGGGCCCCCGGGCAATAGGGGATAATGGGGCCCCTATGTCCTTGCCCACACTCAAAGCACACCCAACAAAGCCTATAAAAAAGGTACCAGGGGCATTTCATGGGGCCCCCTACTGACCCCGGGCCCTCGGGCAGTGTCCGGGTGCTCAAATGATCAGTCCGCCTTTGTTCATCCCTGTGTATCACCTGAGGCCAGTCACTTAACTGGGTATATATATGGGTTTACAACCACTTTAACCACTTGCCCTCCAGAGGATTTACCCCCCTTCCTGACTAGGCCATTGTTTGCCATACGGTGCTGCATTACTTTAACTTACAATTGTGCGGTCATGCAATGCTGTACCCAATTGAAATTTATGTCCTTTTTTCACACAAATAGAGCTTTCTTTCAGTGGTATTTGATCACCTGTGCATTTTTTATTTTTTGTGCTATAAACAAAATAAGACTGACAATTTTGAGAAAAAACAATATTTTTGGCTTTATGCTATAAAACATATACAGTAAAAAAATGTCATTATACATTTAGGCCAAAATGTAGTCTTCTACATGTCTTTGCTAAAATAAATCCCACATGTGTAAATTAATTGGTTTATGTGAAAGTTATAGTGTTTACAAATGAAGGTATATATACTGGAATTTTTTTATTATTTTTTTTTTTACTTGTAATGGCAGTGATCAGCGACTTATAGTGGGAATGCAGGACTGCGGTGGGCATTCTGACACTGGGGGGAACTGACTTGGTGTCACTGACATCCCCAGTGACACCAATACAGTGATCAGTGCTAATAAAAAGCACTGACACTGTACTAATGGCACTGGGCAGGAAGGGGTTAACATGTGGGGTGATGAAATGGTTAACTATGTGTCGTTTCACTATGTGGGCTGTGTGCTTTCCACTGTAAGCACACTGCTTTGTATGGCTCTGCTATGCAGAGCCATACAAAGCAGTGTGCAGGAGCTGACAGGGAAAGTTGTTTATACACAGGTCTCTCCCCGTCAGATATACTCGTCGATCACCAGGTGTCGGCGAGAAATCACTAGCTGGGACCCGATAATCGACAGTTGAGGCCGCAAATGGCGGCGCAGCTAGGGGCGAGCATGTGCCCCCTACCCACAACTGCAAAATCACGTATATATACATGTGATTTTGAACACCTGTGCCACCCCGTAGTAGTATTTCTGCTATAGGGTGGTGCGAAAGCGGTTGTTCACCACTGTGCTTTTAATTTTTTTCTTTATATAAATGAAAAAAGACCAAAACTATTGAAAAAAAACTATTTTTTTTTACTTTTTGCTATAAAACATAATGAAAAAATCTATTTTTTTTATAAATGTAGGACAAAATGAATTCTATTACATGTCTTTGGTAAAAATAAAGTGCATATTAATTAGTTCGTGTGAAAGTTGTAGCATCTACAACGATATACTGTAATTTTTTTTTTTTTTTTCATGGCGTTGATCAGGGACTTATAGTGGAACTGTGATAGTGTGGCAGGCAATATGACACTAACTGACACTGGGTGGGAAGTTAGTGACACTAACATCTCCAGTGACACTAATACAGTGATAATGCTATGCACTGTCACTGTACTAATGACACTGGCTGAGAAGGGGTTAACATTTAGCAGCAATCAAAGAGTTAAACTGTGTGATTAACAGGTGTAATGTCTGCTGTTTTTACTAAGAGATGTGACTGTTTTATCTCCCTGCTTTACAGAGAGAAAAAAACAGCCACATCTCTGCTCCGTGTGCAGAGCCCTATGTTGTTAGTAAACACAAGGCTCTGTACTGTGATTTGCCAAGCCGATCAGCAGAACATAAATCATTTGTACCGAATGACAGCACAGATGAGGCAGCATGCGCTTGTGCACGGAAATGCTGGATCACTTACATGCACATGATCCCCCGCAGTTTTAAATGGTTTCTCTCAACCTTCCAACTGCCACTTTTGCTGGACAGCTTGGTCTGTTAAGTAATTTGAAAATAAATCAGGATCAAGAGGTAAAAAGAAAAGTAACTGAGGTTTAGAAAAATAAAGACAGTTTTGTTAATGCTAATGATGGCCTGCATCACATGCAATTTTAGACTTGGCCTTTAGTACCACTTAAAGTGCTGCCTGAGTGGTTTTAATATTCATTTTCACAGCTATTCTCAGTGAACTGCCAGCATGCCGACTAACCTGTCTTATAAATGAGATTAAGAGCTATAAGGATGGTAAACAGCTGTAGAAAGCATTCTCCAGCTCTGCTGTGAGCTCTGACTTCCTATGCACTGCAGCCAGCACAGTGGTAAGTGGCAGTGCAGAAAAGCAGAGAAATGAACTGTGCTCCCTTACACTGTTGTAAGTCCTTATCAAGCTGTGAAAATTGCCAGAAACGGCTGGCGATGAATCTCAGCATTACTGGAGATGGAGACAGGGAAGATGCCAACTTCTTTTCAGTGTTATGGAAAGTCCTGTAGCGCTGAATATCCCTCCCATCATGTTTGCACTCTATTTCTAACACAAGATTACTACATTCCATTGTAAGAGTATGATGACAAAATGGATAAAGTCTAGGTAGTGAATACATTTTTTTTTTACAAAGTAATATGCTCTGCTTTTTCCCTTGCCATTGTTATTACGGCATTTTATGGACGAAATAAGATCTTTTTTTTTTTTATAAGAACAAGAAGTCAAACTGCAAGTTGTATAACATATAGCACGAGTCATGTATTTATTTAACAATTGTAACAGTATAAAAATGCATTTTAGCTATCTCTCAGTAGAAAAAAGATTGAACATGAATAAACTAAACTTAAAGCAGTATTAGACCCCCAAACCAAAATGTATTATATTTGCAGCTTATCAGTTCTTAAATGTGGTAGCTGCATTAGTTTTCTTTTTTCTCCTTTATTTTCACCTGGTCATCTGGCCAGTAAGTCTTTTTATTTTTTGAACTTCCTTCAACTGCTTTAGCTCCAAACCATAGCAGAAATACTGCTATAGGGCGTCAGCTGTGTGCAAAATCACGTATATATACACCTGCCATTCGCCATTACGGGATTTTGCGCACCTGTGCCACCCTGTAGCAGTATTTTTGCTATAGGGCGGCGTAGAAGTGGTTATTCCCCACTGTGTTTTTAATTTTTATATATATATATATATATATATATATATATATATATATGAAAAAAGAGCAAAAATATTGAAAAAAATTTTTTTTACTTTCTGCTATAAAACATAATACATTTATAACAAAATTAAATTTTTTTCAGTTCAGGACAAAATGTATTCTGCTCTATGTCTTTGGTAAAAAAAAAAACATAAAAAAATGTATATTAATTAGTTTGTGTGAAAGTTGTGGATCTGGGGTTTTCATGAGCTGTAAGCCATAATCATCACAATTATGATCAAGGCTTGAACTATCTTGCTTTGCATGTAATGAGTCTATCTCATATATTAGTTTCACTTTTTAAGTTGCATTACTGAAATAAATGAACTTTTGCACAATATTCTAATTTTTCGAGTTTCACCTGTACTATGCACTGTCACTGTACTAATGGCACTGGCTGGGAAGGGGTTAATTTCTAGCAACAATCAAAGGGTTAACTGTGTGATTAACAAGTGTAATGTCTGCTATTTTTACTAAGAGATGTGACTGTTTTATCTCCCTGCTTTACAAAATCATGTATATATGCACCCGCCATTCGAGGCCATGGCTGTCAGTCACCAGGTCCTAGCCAGTGATTACTCGCTGATGTCCAGTGATTGAGGAGGATCTCCGACAGGAGGGAGAACTGTTAGTAAAACAAAACAGTTCTCCTCCCTGTCAGCTCCGGCACACTGCTTTGCATGGCTGTGCACAACACAGCCATGCAAAGCAGTGTGCTTACAGTGAAGAACAGACACAGAACCTAACGTAAAACGACACCCAGCACACAGTTAACCCTTTGATCGCCCCAGATGTTAACCCATTCATGCCATTAGTACAGTGTCAGTGCTTTTTATTAGCACTGATCACTGTATTGGTGTCACTGGGGATGTCAGTGACACCAAATCAGTTCCCCCCAATTTCAGAATGCCTGCCACAGTCCAGTAGTCCCGCTAAAGTTGCTGATCTTTTTTTTTTATAAGAACAAGTAGGCAAAATATGAGTTGTATAACATATAGCACAAGTCATGTATTTATTTAACGATTGTAACAGTATAATAATGCATTTTAGCTGTCAGTAGAAAAAAGGTTGAACATGAATAAACTAAACTTAAAGCAGCATTAGACCCCCAAACCAAAATGTATTATATTTGCAGCTTATCAGTTCTTAAATGTGGTAGCTGTATTAGTTTTCTTTTTTTTTTTTCCACCCTAGCCAGTCTAGGTGCTCTTGGTGTGGGCACAAAGTGTAATGCAGTTTTCCACAATAGCCTGCATATATATGTATACATGAGTACATTTCCACAGATCAGACCAACTGGCACATATGCATAGAGTCCACTCTAGCATGTTAGATCTACGTCAGGTGATACTATGAATCCACATAGGAATATATCAAGTCTCCACCTTGTGTCCGAGTTAACACTCAAGGGTCTCAGTCATGAGCTCACCCAAGCAGCCTCCAAACATCCACGGTCAAAATCAGCCAATCCAGAACATGTAGCGTCTCCGCATTCTGCCAGATGCAATAGCGGCAATGATTCTCCATCAAGGAGGCCTTCTGTATACATACGGGTATATGAGCTCTCAGTATCAATGGGAAGCACACGCTGCTCAGACTGTGATGCAGTGTACACTGGCTGATACTGCTGCCATACGTGATGACGTCACTTACATCAAAGACATGATGACATTTCATCCAACATGTTTCATCCAATCAGCTCAGGCTTCTTCATCCCTGCTTTCAGAAAAAGGGGACGGAAAGCTGAAGTTACACTCTGCAGATCTCAATGAGGAGAGCTCTGAGAGCTAATTGGAGTGAAGAGACACACCCTCTTCCAGACAGCTCAGTGGAACAGAGCTGAGGCTGTCAATCTGCTTGAAGTCCATCCTGTCACCATTTTTCTCTTGGTGTCAGGAAAATGTGTCAGAAGTGACTCATGCTGATATCAGAGGAAGGAAGCAGCAGACATACGTAAATGTCACTTGGTGCTCCTAATTGAGGCAATTGAGACAATTACACACACTATAAAGAGATATGCTTTGTTCATATTTCATGCCTGAGGTTTACAACCACTTTAAAAGACCAATCTGTGCAGAAAAGTGGCAATTAGAAGGTTAAGACAAACCATCAGCTTTTATTCATTTATTTTAAAACTTTATCCAAAGTTAAAAAAAAATGGTTGTAACTGCTTAAAAAAGTGTTTGCTAGAGTTTGGCTTTAACGTAAAACTAAAGGCATTTTTTTTCTCATTTTGTATAGGGCTATAACTCTCTAACAGTTTTTGTTTTGCCATCTATGTCCCATTGGGGAGATTTCTCTTCACTTCCTGTCCCATAGCCAAAAGAGGAAGTCAGATGACATCCTTCATCTTGGGGTGTCACCAGGGTCACCAGAATCTAACACTACCCTCTTCCCAGGTTGACAATGCTGCTGTCTAAAGGTGTTTCCATTGCTCCTCCATCCAGTGTGGAAACACCTTACGACAGGAAGTGTGTTACTGACTGAATCAGACGTGAAAATAAAGGCAAAAAAAAAAACCTGATACAGCCACCACATTTAATGACTGGTATTAAAATCTGATATATTCGATCTTTTTATTTGGGTTTATTCCACTTTAAACTTAATGAAATAAAGAGCTGCTGCCCTGAGGGTTAGCTTGTTATGTGCTATGATTCATAGACCAGCACTATGATCAGGAGAATCTATTGCATAGGAAAGCCTATGTGTAGACGCTTAACCACCATTTAGGAAATACTAGTTTAAACTGAGTCATTACATTCCAGATAATGACCTAGTGCCCTTTCCAATGTTGCCTTCCTGCTGTACATACAGTATGAACACGTCTTATTTTACAGACTATGTTTAATATCCATTAAAATGTCATCCTTCGGTCCTGCAAATGTTCATCCCAACCCTTTGAAATGTTGCATTAGAACACTCAAATATAGCCTCTGTCTGGTGAATTATTTACATGTTGGAAGTTCCTCCACTTAATCTGTGGCTCAGTATTTCTTATGCAGCAACGAATCCTATTTTCTTAAAGTGAAACTAAACCCTCCTATCCTTTTCAGCCAAGGAAGCTGCCTTAGCCTCTATTTGATCTGCAGTTGCCATGGTACTGCACATGTGACCAGTTTTAATACCAGCCATTTGACAGCTTGACAGATTGGTTGACAGCATGAGCAATGGTGACAGTTATTATTATGCCATTCCTTCCCACATGGAAGAAAAATATATTTTAAATATATTTAAAAAATATTCTTCCCAAATATATTGACATATATTTGAAATACTAAAATTTTGGCCGTATTCAATATATTGCAATGTATATACACACACACACACTGCATGCTGAAATGCATTTTTATATGTTACAAAATATATGAAAAATATTTTTAAAAATATATTTTTTAAAATATATTCTTCAGATTTTTTTTACATATAAAAATGTCATTTTAACATATATTTTTACATATATTTGTAAATGCTTTCCAAAAATGTATATTAAATGGATTTTTATAGACGTATAGTATATTTGAAAATTTATTTGTAAAAATATTTTTGATATATTTTGTAATATATATATATATATATATATATATATATATATATATATATATATATACATACACACACACTCACTGCATGTTGAAATGCGTTTTTATATGTTACAAAATATATGAAAAATATTTTTTAAAATATATTATTTAAAATGTATTCTTCAGATTTTTTCAACATATAAAAATGTAATTTTAACATATATTTTTACATATATTTATAAATGCTTTCCAAAAAATTATATTAAATGTATTTTTATAGACATACAGTATATTTGAAAATGTATTTTTAAAAATATTTTTGAACTATTTTTTGTAAAAAAAAAAAAATTATATATATATATATATATATATATATATATACACATACACACACACACACACTACATGCTGAAATGCATTTTTATATGTTACAAAATATATGAAAAATATTTTTAAAAATATATTTTTTAAAACATATTCTTCTGATTTTTTTTAACGTATAAAAATGTCATTTTTAACATATATTTTTACATATATTTGTAAATGCTTTCCAAAAATGTATATTAAATGTATTTTTATAGACGTACAGTATATTTGAAAATGTATTTTTTAAAAAATTTTTTTGATATATTTTGTAAAAAAAAAAAAAAAAAAATTATATATATATATATATATATATATATATATATATATATATATATATATACACACACACTGCATGTTGAAATGCATTTTTTATATGTTACAAAATATATGAAAAAATATTTTTAAAAATATATTTTTTAAAATATATTCTTCAGATTTTAACATATATATTTTTACATATATTTGTAAATGCTTTCCAAAAATGTAGGTTAAGTCTACAGTATATTTGAAAATGTATTTTTAAAAATAGTTTTGATATATTTGGTAATAAAAATGCATTTCAACATACAGTATATATATATATTTATTGAAATATATTGACTACGACCAAAATTGTAGTATTTCAAATATATGTCAATATATTTGGGAAGAATGTTTTTTAAAATATATTTCAAATATATTTTTCTTTCATGTGGGTTGAGTGTAACTAATTTGGAAACATTTACAGTGGTTGTAAACCCTTACATATACCCAGTGAAGTTACTGGCCTCAGGTGATACATAGAGATAAAGAAATCCTCCTACAAAAGTTTTACCTGTCTATCTGCAGTTATCTCTTCTCTACCTCTATTCAAAATTCCTAATGTATACAGCTTGTATGAGCTTTCAGAAAACAGGAGGCAGGAATCTGAAGTTAAACTCTGCAGAGCTCAATGCAGACAGCTCTGATAGCTGATTGGAGGGAAGGGACACCCCCCCCCCTCTCACACTGCACACAGAAACAGAGCTGAGGCTATCAATCATATTAGAGATCACTTCCCTCTCACCTTTTATCTCTTGAAGTCAGGAAAACCTGTCAAAAGTAACTCACGCTGATAACAGAAAAACAAGGCAGCAGAAAAAAAGGACACTTAGTGCTCTGGATTGAGAAAAGTACATGCTATAGAGGGAAATGCTTTGTTCACATTTCATGTCTGAGGTTTACAGCCACTTTAAAGCAATGAGTTTAGTTCCACTTCAAAGTACTATGTTTAGACACTTCCTAATACATTTATACCAATGAAGGCACCATAACTGCTTTTACTTACTTTTAGAAATTATCTTTCTAACCTTTTTTACTAGATTAAAAATTTCTGTCGTGTGCCCATGCATTTCTACCTTCTGATTTGGGTGGGTTTGGGGTTACAGGACACTGTGAGGGCACACGTTGCACCTGTACTCCATAGAATATTCAGCCTGAGGCAGGATGCAGACTGTGCTTGAGCAGGAGATGTGTTAAAAAAACAGGCTGTAAATGGGAGGAATTATGTGCCA